GTGTATATCGGAGTAAGCTTGCTGCTAGAAAAAGTGTTCACATAAAAAAAAAAAAATAATAATAATAATAATACAAATCTTTGTAAAACCAATACATTCTTCGCTACACTTCAAAATCTAAAATGGGAAATATCTCGCTGGTTAAACAGAATCTAACCTGCGGATAATGTTCTTCCGTTTGTACGTTTCGACGGAGTGGTCGGATTCGATGTTAAAGTTTACTCGAATCCAAAATGGTAGAGAATGTTAAGAAACGCAAAATCGTCCTTTTTGCTCAACTGTCGACTGTGGGAATCGATAATCTAAAAGCCGCATCCTAAAAATAAAAGAGTCAGTTTCTAATCAATACACCGAGCTTTTCCCCGTAACTCGGTTGAATTACACGGAATTTTACAATTTCCCTGTGAAATCCGTGTATTTCAAACCGATTGGGGGGGGGGGTAGGGGGTTTGCCACCTATCCGGATTTCACCAGGATACTCCGGTTTTTCATATTGTAAATCTTTATGGGCCACGGGTTCAATGAATTATTCTCCGGGTCGTCGTAAAATAGTACCATTCGTATACCAATTACGTATAGTTTGTCGACAAGCGACGAGAGCAACGAATTTCACACGTCAAAAGATAAGATAAAAAACGATTTATCGACATTTTATACGTAAAACTTATACATAGGCGTATCATGGCCACGGTATCTTTCGTAGACGACCTTATCGGCCCGTCTCCGGCCGGGTGGTCTACCGTCTTTCAATCGCGGCGACCCTAGATATATTCCTTAACCCACCTACCCCCGCCCCCCCCTCACAAACACACACACGTACGCCACTGAGTAGTATGCCGTTCGGTCGGAACGGAAACGGGTTCCCGAGAATGTAGCCCTAGCCGGTAACGTGTCGGAAACCGTTGTGTGTGTGTGTGGGGGGGGGAGGAGGAAACGAGATGATATGATGCCATTCTTATATCGCGGCGATGAATTTCGTAAAAACGTTAAAGACGTGAACGTCGGGAGTAAAGTTTGCAAAATCGGCGATGAAAAAAAAAAAAAAAACAAAAAACCGAAACGCTTGGCCGGTACGTTTGTTGCGACAATAAACCTCTCTCGCGCCCTTCTTCCCCCCTCACCACCACTAGACACTCCCGTTCCGACGACAGGTATCGAAATTTGCGCGTGACGTACACACTGGTTCCGGTGTTGTAATATAGCACACGTGGCGATAAAATGTAACGTTCTGCGCGATATTCCGTCGGTCTCGTTTGTTTTTTATTTGTTTATTGTTTTTTTTTTCCGACGTCCGTTTCCGATGACGACAGTATACAGTGATAATTTAAGCATAAAAAATTAACCAAACCGATTTTCCGTTTCACGGCACTTCCCCCTCTACCCCTCCCCCGAAACGATAGCCCAACGTTTTCGGGTTCGCGTAAAAAAAAGAAAAAACACTCGAGAGCCACGTCGCGGTCGTCGGTCCCGGCGTTGAATGAAAACGCGCATCGGAGAGATATTACGAGCGGCGGGCAGACCGGGTAGGAGGAGACGAGGGGGGGAAACCTCGTAAAAAAAAATATGCCAACGCGGCGCGTTCTAATTGCGAGAGTTGCGTATTATTTATCTTTAGTTTTTTTTTTTTTTTTTTTATTACACCTATACGTGCGTCCGTTTATAACTCAATTGTTACGGCGTTTTGAGAAGTATAAAATATAATATACGAATATACGCGCGAAATCGCCGCGGCGACATGAAATATTTGTAATTTTTTTAAAATTGTTTTTGTTTTTTTTTCTCAATCAAACTCCCCGGCCGAGACCTGGCCGTCGACGCGCCATTGAATCGATCGCGGTTTTTTTTTTTTTTTGTTTTTTTTTTCCTCGGCAATTACATTTCGCCTTCGTCCATGCACGCGCGTCTGTACGGTTTTTAATTTTCTTCCCGCCGCCGCGGCGGTCGCCAATTTGTATAACCTTGCGAGAATATCGACGGTATTAATTTTAATTTTTTTCGTTTTTTTTTTTTTTTTTTTTTATCCGACCGATTCGCGCGCGGACCGTGTACCGGCGCCGTCGCGCCGCAATCGACGACGGTTAACAATAATAATACTATACACGCGCGATACACGTCTTTATTACAACAATATGTGTGTACGTTATTATAAAATAACGCGTATTATATCGGTTTTTTTTTGTTACTGTTACGTTTTAGATTCTGAGTGGACCGATGAATGTATTGGTTTTACAATGATGGTTTTGTTTTTTTTTTTTTTTTCGTGTGAACACTTTTTCTACCAGAAAGCACACTCCGGTTATCTTTTCTGAACGTTCACCGAGTGGTACTTAGAAGAAGTCATTTTTTCGAAATTCTCATTGATATTCGAGATAATGAAGAAAACCCTGGCCCTTCAGGTTGTCATCGGCGACCGTTTCTATTTATTTTTTGTTATTATTAAGTTTTTGTTATCTTAAATCTTTTTTAAACAATCATTGTTGTCATGGAAACGCACATTGTTGTAACAATTTTACCATAATATGACATATGTATTGTTGACAAAGCAACGCTACCAACTGAACTCCGCTCAGAATCGTTTTTTCGTTAGCAATGGATTATCGTTGATATACATTAAATTCCCGTCTGTGTTCTACCTTCCCCACTTCTCCGCTGCACCTCAGTAGCTGCACCCACGTGCGAAGTTTTTCCGTCCATTTTAATGCTTAATAATAATGATATATTGGCCATCTCTATAGATACATTTAACTAAAATTACAATTAAAAAAACTGAAAATGTGTCCGATTTATATTAATTTTTAATTTTCCTCGCTATTTTTTCTTGATAAACAGGAAAAGCCTACCAGCAAATTCGTTGCATATTTTTCGTTTATCTCCGGGTTACCGTATGACGGCAACAAACGGGTAAAAATACTCCTCTCGGAATCGTTCTCCGTTAACAACGACGGTTAGTCCGCCGCGCGTACAGACATAAATCGAATTACACTACGCACGTCCTGACTTCCCTCCGCAAAAAAACTGCAGTGGCGGGCGTACTGTTAAACGTCGTCGGTATTGGCATTTTATTACGATGTTCGGTGATTCGGTTGTCGCGGTCAAGGACACGTACCTTTTAGAGAAAAAAAAATCACCGAGCAAAAACGGTTAGGTTAAGTTATAATTAATTGTGACCGGAGTGGAAACGAAGAGGCGGCCGGAAGAACGGAGAGACACGTTTTTATCGTTATTATTTCCCCCCCCCCCTGTTTAATACTCCGCACTGCAGTGATGTCCGACACAGTCGGTATAATTTTTTAATTTTTGTTTTTTTTTTTTTTTTATCGCGTGCGAAAAAATAATATTACGATCGCGTGCATATTATGATAATCGTACCGGCCGCGATCTTCGTTCACTACCGGCGGGTGAGGGGGGGGAAGCAATAAATAAAACGCTCGTGCCCGAGGAAAAAAACAACAACACGGTAGCTAACCGGCAACTCGGTTCGGCTCTTCGATATTATGACAACAATATAAAATCGGAGATATTTCATCTGGGGTATTTACAGTATGCGCGATTGCTACGAGAAAAAAAAAATTGTAATCGCGTGCAATGTAGCGATATTATCGTGTCGCGATTGTACGCGCGGCCGCGTTGTAATAACAATAAAAAGAGAAACAATAGAAAAGAAAAAAAAAAGCGGAACGGTGTAGGACACAGTGTTATAATAATCCGTTTGTTTACGTAACGCTAACCGCAATACCGTCGCTAACGCAAAACGTTTCTGAACGGAACCCGGACGTTGGGAATCGCCGCCGCGTCGTGGTTTCTCGCGATTTCCGTACGGAAAATCGGACTTTGAACCCGACCGAACAGTCGTAACGCGACGGGGACGGGCAGAGATAACAACAGATAATTAATCGCGCGCAGTCGCCACTTGGCTGCGTTCGAAAATTCGCGGCACGGTGGAATGGTCGGAGACCGTGAGTAGGGAGCAGAGCGGTGTGAAATCGCCGGCAACTAATCGAATCTGGCACGGCGGCAACGGAAATAACGCGAACGCTGACAATAAACGGCAAGAACGAGTGGCGTCGGAGTCGCGGAAACGCAGCCGGGCGAAACGCGTTTCCAGAGGCCCCCGGTGACTAAACGCGGCCCATTTGGTGTCCGAAATTTCGATTTCTGTAACGATGTGTTTCCATTCGGTGCGACAACTCTGCCCCGGAATGAAGCGGCGCCGTGCTTAATTTTTAAGGGGGGGGGGAAACGCGCCGAGGCCCCACGACGTATTGAAGAGTTCGGCGCCACCGCTAAGAACAATGTGACAACGATATTATCGCGTCGACGAGCGCCTATATCGATCGAGCCGGCGCACCGGCGACCGCGAAATTAACTCGGACGGGGGCGTTGTCGGGTCGTCCCGTCGGTTTTTTCCCGGTTTTTAATGGCCGTCCCGGTGGAATCGCGCGGGTGGATGAAAAAAATAAACGAAAAATAGTTGACGACGGCCGCGATACCGTCCGGGTAACACGACGGGTAATGTTCGTTAATCGTTCGTACCGCGCGCCCGCTCCCCGCGCGCCCCGTACACGTTGTTATTATTATTATTATGATAATATTATTATGTGTACACGAGCGAGCGCGCGCGCGGCCCGGTAGGTCTCCGGGACGACGGCGTAAAGGAGTGGCGGCGGCGGCGGCGGCGGCGGCGGCGGTAGTCGTGCGGTCGTCAAGGAATGGAAATACGGTATGGTAGCGGCTGCGGTGTCCGTCGCACGTGCACGCAATACGTCCCGCGCGCGTGTGTACGGTGAGCGGCGCGCGCGAACCAACACACACACACACACGCGCACGCGCGCGCACGAGCGAACGAGCCAGCGAGCGCGCGCTCGCGCACACGCACACGCACACGCGCGCGCACACACACACACACACACACGCGCGTGCGTGATAATAATATAATACGATTGAAAAATGCCTATGGCCTGGCAGCTGGCCGGCTGCATCGTCATCCGTGTCCGCCGCCGCGTGTGTGGGAACGTCGCGGTCCCGGGTTCCCACGGGCCGCGCGCCTATATAACGCCCCACCCGGCGCCCGGCACACCGCATTCCGACACCGTACGCCGGCACGCACACGTCTCTCCGTACGCCGCACAACCGTTCGCGCGCTCTCTCACTCGCTCTCTCTCTCTCTCTCCGCCGATCGGCCAGCCAGCAACAGCTCCGCGTTCGCCGCCTTCAGTGTTCAGTACACGCTCTCCGCCGTAGCACGCGCGCACACGTCCTGACCGATAATTCCGTTGTTGTTTATCGTTCGCACGTCGTCAACGCCACACGGCCGTCTTCGTCATGTCTTCCGTCGCCACTGAAATGCAGCAACCCGTCTCCAGGACTTATCAATACAGAAAGGTAAATACAATCGTGTTGGATTAATTTTCTCTTTCTCCCCCCCCCCCCCCNCCCCCCCCGGAGACTTGAACGCGAAAAATTAAATTTTTTTTTTTTTTTAAATTTACTTATTTATCTCTACGCGCTTTTCGATTTAAAATATTACATTCTTTTATCGCGGTAATTTCGATGTTTTCGGTTATTTTTAGTTTTAACGGTTTAAAAAAAAATTAATAAGCCTCGTTATTCATTTTTTTTTTTTTTTTCATGATAGTATTGCGTAAAAATATTAAAAACGACGCCAAAGTCCGTTATTTTAAAATTAAAATAAAAAAAAATAATAATAACAATCGCCTATTTGTCGCCTGCAACGGCGCGCTCAGGCAACAAAACGCGCAACGGAAAACCGATCGAATCGCTAACAATTAATAATATTTATTATACACGCGCGAAAATCTTCGAGTTTTACTAACGGACCATTTTTTTTTTCTTTCTCCAGGTTATGAAACCAATGTTGGAACGCAAACGCCGGGCCCGGATCAACAGATGCCTGGACGAGCTCAAAGAACTGATGGTGGTCGCCCTTCAGTCCGAGGGCGAGAACGTCAGCAAACTGGAAAAAGCCGACATACTCGAACTGACTGTCAGACACTTGCACAAGCTGCGCAGGCAACAGCGGCTGTCCGGCAACCCGGTCACCGAAATGGACCGTTTTCGCGCCGGTTACACGCGCTGCGCGTCCGAGGTCTCCCGGTGCCTGGCCGCTACCCCCGGCCTGGACGTCACGCTGGGCGCCAACCTGATGACCCACCTTGGCCACAGACTCAACTCGATCCAACCGTCCGGCGGTATCGTTGCCGCGGCCCCGGCCGCGTCGCCGTCACCGTCCGCGCCGCTGACGCTCAACACCGATTCGTCGTCGTCGGCGGCGTCCTGTTCGTCGTCCTCGTCGGCGTCCTCGTCCTGTTCGTCGCCGCCGCCTCCACCGTCGCCGACCGGCAGCACCGCGTCGTCGTCGTATCCGATGCCCTTGACGCCCAACTCGATGGCCAGCGTCGGTTGCGGCTCGGACGCCGGTAACCACCACGGTCTCCTGCGAGTCGTCGACATGTCGCTAAAAAGCGCCACCTCTCATCAATCCGTATGGCGGCCTTGGTAAACACAAACGGTCAACGCCGCCGGTGCCGCGCACAAAATATATTACCACTGATAATGATTATGTTACACATTCAATATTTGGTCTCCCGATTTTCGTTATCATTTTTTTTTGTTTTTAAGCTATTATTATTATTATTATTATTATTATTATTATTATTATTATTGTCCGATAAAACGCAAATCAAACTGTCCGGGGGACCGAAGCACAAAAGTCGATTAAAAATATTTAATATTATATTATATTATATTATTTGTTAATATTTTATATGAGATCAATTTTAAGGCATTTTTTTATTCGCACGCGTTCGTTTATTTTGTATAATGTATCGACAGTACGAATATTTATAAACATGTTTAATTTTTTATTATTATTATTATTATTATTATTGATTTTTTTAAAATCATCCTGTGATACCGCGTTTAGATATATTTTTTAGAATACCCATATTATACTCGTAACTGCGTAAAAGGAAAATAATGGTATGATTATTGTTTTAACGTGTCCTCGTGAGATTACGTAAACGGGTGGACATCCTACCCCGTCGCGCGTACGTACAACGTATAACGTTGCGTATTATTTATTTGGAAATCACTATTATTTTATATATATATATTTTGTAACATATAATTTAAAAAAATAGTATATTATACTGTACGTACTGCTTAATGATAATGTTGTATAACAATGTATGTATATGTTCGTAGACTGTGATATATAATAATATATTTGTATTGTAATACGTAAAAAAAAAAAAAAAATATATATATATATAAATATTAGTAAAAATACTATGATTGTTTTACGTATATTTGATGGTTTTTTTTTTTATTTTCATTTTCATTTTCACTTCGAGAGATATAACAATATCGTGTGTGTACCCGCGGCTATTCACATTTTGCGTGTTGTACGGTCACGAGACGAAAAGACAAAGGTCAAAGGTACGGGACAAAAGGAGAACCGCATTCAAATTACAATGCATTTTAACACGGGTGTATGGACTCTTTCCACGGAGGTTTATTGTAAACAGAATATCGTAACGGAATATTGTAACATTGATAACATATGCCGCAATATCGCCGGACAGATTTTTTTTTTTTCTTAATTGAATTTTAATACAAAAAAAAAAAATTATTAACGTAAACGCAGGGCCCGTGGCGATGTTTATACAACTATATATCGCATTATAATAGGTACACTGAAGCGAAAATAAAAATAAAAGAGCCGCGGTTTTACAGAATAGGATAATCGAAAAGGTATTACGCGGTACCGTTGTAAAGTGGCACTCGAAATAATAACGAGGCCTTTTTAGAGCCGATAACGGTTGGTAATAATCGACGGAGAAAAGGAATTACGCGGAATCGCGACGAATATCGCCCGGCGGTATTTGCGGGTATTCGTTGGTCTTACCCGACACTCGATTCCTCTGTAAAACTGTTGTTAATTTTTTTTTTCTTTTTGTCGAAAAACTCGCCGACCCGACACATAACGATCGGCCGTTATTCCCGATGTCGGTACGTGCCGCGCCCCGGCTGTTCGTAACACAAATTCTATCGTTGTGCGCGTAGACTCCTAAAATCTTCCGGATAAACCGGTGCGGCGCGGTGTCGGGAAATTGGCGCAAAGCCGTCAAAGCCGTTTGGATAAACGCGCGGCGCGTGCGACGCACGAAAATCGCCGGCAGACGGACCGCAGGGCTAATCAAACCGTCGCGGAATGTTTGCGGGGTTTTAACGTTTCCGTCGGTCGGCGTTCGCGCGCAGCGACCGCACGCCGCGAGAGAACCGCGAACGCGAACAAATCGCTGTCTACGCCGAGATAATAAAATGTCCGCTCGGTAATCAAAGGGGTTAAAAATCCGCCGGGTCGATTGACGCTTTGACATCGCGCAGTTACCGGCTACGGGCACGTCATCCGAAATCGCATTTGGCCGCGGAGCATTTTTTTTTTTTTTTTTTTTTTTTTTATTATACACGACGTATTATTTTTCCGCGCGGTCGTCGCGATTCCGACTGTCGTCTCTACGGCCGCGGCGGACGTTTCGCGCGACGAGCGGGGGGCCGTCGCCGTTGGTCGCAGGCGAAAAGTCGGGAAGGCGTAGGATACGGCGGAGAATTTAATTTACGTCTGTGGTGTACCGCTGCTGACGGAACGCGATCCGGAGCGAAAACCGCTCGAGAAATGGCCCCGTTTATTGTACCGCGGCCCGATTGAACATTTCTTCTCGGAAAAAACGCCGCGCAATCGCGGTACGTACGTGTCAGAACACGATTCCTGGCGCAGCGGAGTTTGGATTTGTTCGTGGTTTTTTTTTTTTTTTTTCCGTTGTAGGCACACTAGGTGTACCCAGTGTACGTTTGAAATTAGCATTCAATTTTCCTGTGCCACGTTGAAAATAGATATAGAACTTGTACTTGTACATATATTTTACGATGTAAATAAGCGATCGAATCTTAATTGCGCCGCCTATGACGCGCTTAGCTGGGTTTATCGAACATATAACCAGCGTACAACTAACCACGTGCTTGGCGCGTAAACACGAACACACACACGCACACACACACACACACACAGACATTCGACGCAGTTTTATTAGTAAAAATCGTTTTCAAACTCAAATCTAATACCTTAACATAACATCATTATAGTCCGTCGATATATTTTTGACGAATCAAAAATAGCCGATAAAAACGTACAGTAATATAAACTCGGCAACTTAAAACATAATTACTTAGACAAACTACTCATCGTGAATGCGACGATATGATGATGGTGCTGATGACGGCGATGATGCACGCCACACCTAACCCAATTGTAACGGCTCTATTTGTAAATATAATAGGCAGGTGTATTATTGTTGCAATAATATAATTTGAAGTATTTTCTACTTTTTTTTTTTTTTTTTTTTTCACGAAAGTTTTCAGATAATCAAAAACGTTAATTTCAGTACGTTGGTTTCAGAAACATTTCGGACAACACAAAACTACACGAGCTATTATAGGTAGCGGGTATTAGTTTCCTTCCGTGTGTACGGCAGTACATAATTTTCAATACTTAGACAATACAATTTAGTGATAATCAGATTCGGGTAATCTCGGTGTTTGTCTCGCTTTTGTACACTCAACTTTAGTTTTGGAATTGTCGCGAAAGTTTTGCTGTTGTGCATTATTTAAAATAGTTTTAAAAAAAAAAAAAATATTTAAAACACTGGCTAGGACTTTGTTTGTCATCTACAAGATAGTAAGCTGTAACTTTATAAGTTCAAAATGTATTAAGTAACCCGAATTGGTTCAAGGTGTTTAACGATAACCATAATAGGTGCAATAAAATCGTTTAGATATCTACAGCCAATGACGTTAATATTGCTTGCTAAACATTTTTATCCGTTCGATCGATGCCAGGATAACACGGTGCGAGATCCCGACAAGCCGGGTTATTAATAGTTTATACTTTGTTATACGTAATCTTATCGTATCTTGTTTTCAATAATTTATTATTTCCCGGAACGCCAACGTTCGAATGTTATAATACTTTCTATTATATTCGTATGGATTGTGTTTTTTTTTTTTTTTAAGGAAAAAAAAGTACATTAGCAACATTACAAAAACTTGGTCTTAGTATTTCATACTCAATTTTGGTGTTGGTATTGCTGGTGCCGGGCTCCGGTATAAGTTATAACCGTGATTGTACATATGGCCGGGGAAATAGGTAAAAAATCAACTTGACGGGCAATGTTGACGATTCAAGTTTTTTAGCGCATGCTTCGGCAGCTGTACACGTGCACTCACGACACGGGCCCGATATATTCGGGAATCGGACGAATCGAATGAATTCGAACGAAACGTATTAGGCGTGTCGAGCGATGTTTTTTTATACAAATTATTCGTTTTGAGTTAAATTCTAAAACTACGTGGTGCATAAAATAATAAAACACTCGAGACCTAAACTCGTTGTAAACCGAACCCTAACAGACGTTTATAAAATTAGCTCTTAACAAGTACCTAACTGTTTATGAAAAAAAAAAAACCTCGCAACTAGGTATACAGTAAATCAATAATTATTTTCAGCGACGAATAAGGCGATGTCCCATTTAGTCTTTTTAGTCTTATTACAATATAACATTAAATGATATATGACAGCCCACGTGTTTCAAAAATCTTAAAAATTTATTTGGTTCGGAATATAGGTAAGTAATGATCGGTTTCAGTCGCGCCATAATACCTTTTGCGAATATTTTTCGACTATCAACATAATTACCGGTAACCGTAGCCTAAAATCAATAAATAATAATAACAATAATAACGAAGGATAACAGCACGGGTCTCTCATTTGCTACATTTCCGATAGTCGAACGTAATTATTCGGTGTCTATTAGTACTGCCGCCCCGCGTAACTTTCGAAATAATATTCGTCTCGCCAAATTACAAGGCTCACGAGTATTATTCATGGTTCAATAGCATTATATCGTTATTGTACAGCTATAGGTACTCAAACACGTTGCTGTTCGAACGCTGGGTACGACTTAACGGATGGTTTTAATGATTTTTTCCGTCGGTTGCGTGTCACGGCGAAAATGTTAAGGTTCAACCGCGTACAGGCACCTGACTACCTACATTAATATCGTTGTACTTGAAGAGGCTACTTAAATATTTTACCGCGGTATACAGGGTGGGTCGAACAGTGTAATCTCCGCGTTTCTAATAAATAGTTATCGGAGGCGCCAACATAATTTTACGGCGGGCGAAAAAAAAATAACAATCGAACGTCCCAATTCAACGACCAAGTTAGTCATATAAGTAGCCGTTCGACGTTAAACTGTATCGCCGAGTATTTTAAGGTCGGCGTGTATACCTGTTATATATTTATATTATTGTCGCGGGTATAAATTAGAAGAAGAAAAAAAACCCAACAAACACTCATAACGGATTTGGGCTGGCTGAGAAATTAGGCGCAAAAAAACACGTCTGGCAATATATTATAATACTCGACAAGTCGGCAAAGTGACAACATAGAAATAAAAAAAAAAATTAAAAAAAAGACGTTTATCTATATTTCTGTAGTACCGTGTTAATTATACATACAAATATATAGGTACCGATCTAACCGCTACGCTTGATAATCAAGTGGTTCCCGATTGGATTTTTGTAACATTGTAGAGAGATATTTAGGGGTAATACTCGACAAGTCGGCAAAGTGACAACATAGAAATAAAAAAAAAAAAAAAAAAAAAAAAGTCATCGAAAACACGGACGGAATACCAACGGTACAACAAATACAGCAATGACGAAACATTACTGTTGCCGTTACGGCGACCCTGCGACGATCATTTTCAACGGGTCTAGAGATTTCGGGGACAAAAACGACAAGTTGTAAAAAATTAAGTGCGCATTAACATTATTACTTTCGACGGGGACCTCGTACCTCGTGCGTTTTTCGAAACATCGCCCAGAAAATAGCAATGGGAATTTAAAACGTTTAATTTTTTCCTAATCAAAGATGTATTTCGGTATTATCGAAGGTTCCGGCCTTTACTTGTACAATACATATGTTTTAGATCGTGCAAAGACGGATAATATAAGGTTCCGTCAGAAATATTACAACGCGCTGTCTATTAAATGATTGTAATGGTTTTTTTTTTAAAACAAATTTCACATTTTTATCGAACGGCACGCCGCGATAATTTAACGGAATTACTCGTACGTTTATTCGAATATTTTTGACTTGATAGACTGTTGTTTTTTTTTTCGAAAATCCCGTTAGAACACTCAATACTGCATAAGCCGTATTATATATTTTGATTTGTCGTAACCATAGTAATATCCACGCCAAATATACATAAAAAAAAAAAAAAAAAAAACGCGGAATGGCAGGCCGAAATTTCGGATCGGTGTCGAAACTGTTCACCGGAGTGATTATTGTATGCATTTCGGAAATAACGCTGTTAGAAAAACCGCGGTAACCGCGGTAAAAATCAACGTTCATTCGGCCACGGTGACCGCGGGTCTGTTTTAGCCCGTGTAGTGCTTTTGTTATTTACGTCGGTTAAACACGTTGTTTCGCGTGACGGTGAATAACGGATATTCGTAGAGCCCGTTCAATATCGAAAACGACGGGACCGCGTTAACGCCGTAAACATTTCCGCGTTTCCCGCGGTTTTTTTCCCGACTATTTTAAAGTCCGTTTTGGCGAATCGAAACGCGACTTTCATACGCGACAACCCGGAACCGAAATTCAACAAAAAAACGTCTCGCGTTGTTATCTGATCGGAGTCGGGATTCCGGTACGAAACGCAATACGCGTTGGTTCGAAATAACTAATACCACGTGCCGTAAATTTATCAGTTTAAATTTTACGTGGTTTTTTTTTTTTTTTTTCTGTTTTTCCCAATTATTACGAAAACCCCTGGGAAAATTGCGAAACGACCCCTCACCGCGAACCGACTAGGTTCAAAAAAGGATGATTTGTCGATTGGAGCAAAATTTCTGGTAGAAAAGTCGTTTACGGAATACGAAAAAAAAAAATAATAAACACGCACATCACAGTAAAACTAATAGATTCCTCGCTTCGTTCACAATGAAAAATTGATTTCAAAAAGATTTCAGTTTTTTAAAATGAATAAATATTCAAGATGCATATGTTTAGATATTTATATTTCACAATTTGCGCGGACACCAAAACTGTCGCTTAAAAATATTTTTACGGAACGGATGACCGGACTGCGTATACGCTTGCATATACGTTGTTTTGACTATTTATGAATTTCCGGCGAAATATTTGCATGAAAATGTTATTAATATTAACGGTGATACATAAATCTGGACAATAATCAGTCAAAAAGTTAAAAAAAATAGGTTAGAAGTTACTTTTTCGGCAACTTACTAGTTTCTGTTTAAAACACTAAATTTAACGACAGATTTGAACCTAAACCGCACTCTAACGGTTAGTTCAGTAAATATCTTATTATTGTTACATATTATTTATGAACACTAGAGTGCTCTAGTGGTTATTATATAATAATGTTTTTTAATTTATTATTTACTGCCATACTTATCACGGCGTAAATAACCGTGGTTCTGACCGTCATCATTACATGGATATTTCAGATGTTAACCATTTAACCTTACAGTATTGTCGCCATGCATTATACAATACGTTGTATTTATCTTGTGTAATGATTTGAAATTTTGAAATCGCGGTCTTTAAAGCAAGTTAAAATGTTTTTGTGAAATACGGAACACAATCTGATATCATATTTAAGTAGGATTTTGTCAAAAGAAAACATATTTAACATACCTAATACGGAACCAAGGTTGTGAAGATCACCTGGAAATAGAATAAAGAATGTGCATAGTTGTGTAAATAGTTTCATAATTTCATTCATTCACAACCAGTTTTAGAAAAAAAGATTTTTATATTATATTTAAATAGAGAATATGAGATCATGTACAAATACAGTACTGTAAAACGATAATCCTTTTTAAATATTTATATAAAAAAAAAAGTAATTGAATACAATTAATACAAATAGATACTTCTAGAATACATGAGCAAATAAATTTTTAGGAACTTTAATACTAAATTATTTATTCAATTATTTATATTATTGATATGAATTTAATAGGTATCAGCAAGTTAATAAATAAGTTTGTTTTAACTATTTCAAGCATTTAACTTTGACAGTTACTTAATTTTTAGAAAATGGAACTCCTGGGTAAAAATGGAAATTTAATATATATTTGTATACAACGATTAATCATTGCTAACGAAAAACGATTCTGAACAAAGTTAGGTTATACATGTTTTAAAAGGCTTTAATATTTACGATTTTTGTCAAAATTTGATATTAAAAATTCTAATAAAAAAAAAAGATACTACATTAAACTCAACTTTTTCTTGTTGACCACTTTTAATGAACCACCTGTTAAATTTTCAAACATTTCTGTTTGATCTAATAATTTTATCCACAGAGTACCTACTGAATAAAAATTACGTTTAAAATTAAAATGTCCCAAATTTGTTGACAGTTTTACCACATTTAGAAAAAACAAAATTGAAAACAATAAAATCATTATTTTTTTATATTTTCCTTTTTTTTCTACGTTTTTACCCAATTATTTTGAAAACTGTATGAAAAATGAAAAATGACCTCCTTAAAGTACTAACTAGATAAAATTCCCTTTCAAATAAATGTACATGGGAGTAAGATATTATTAAATAAAAAAAAAAAAAAATAATAATAATAATTTTCTCTAAAGTAGTTGTAGTATTCGTCTACCGGTAGAGCTTTCACTTCAACAATTTCGCTAGGTATGCATTTATATTCAATTTTTTTTTATTTATGAATGACTCATATTGAACATAAAACTTAATCTAGGTAATTTAAAATCTGTACTGGACGTGGCATCCTATGTATTGTATTACCGTGTACAATATGTTTGGCTTAGTAAGTGATTGGTTAGGACTAATAATTGTAGGTGTATTTGGAACGATAGAAATACTAACATAACGACATGATGCCATAATGATAAATTAAGATTATAATTGAATGGTGTTTTAGTGTACGTTTTAGTTATCATAACTATAGCAATTTTCAAATATTTAATTTCATCGATTAATGTAACTAGGTGAATTATATTTATTTATATTTTTTTATACAAGACGTTTTATTGTAAAAATCAGTATAATTAATCATTATAATTGTTTTTAAATTTATAGTTTTTGACCTTTTTCAATTAAATTAATATATGATGGATCCACGTACAAAAAATAATAAAGGTCAGATCAAACGTGAAAGTGAACAAAATAAAAAATACATAAATGAACTTAATACAAAACTATGCGACTACGATGACGTAATTTCTCAAAGAGATAAAATGAAATGCGATATGTACACGGTACTTTCAAAATTGGACTCTATGAAAACTAAACAAATGGATACGATCAACGAACAATTATGTAAACATAACGAAATGAATAACAATTACAATATAGACCGAGAAAAATTAATACATTTAATAAAAGAAAATGATTGTTTACGAAATGAAAATGAGAAATTATACGTTAAATTAAATGAGCAAGAGGAGCTTCTAGAAGAATCAGAAAATGTTCATTCGACCCTTTTACGGGACGCTCAAAACCTACAAATTAAATTTGAAGATACGACAGACATAGCGAACAAATGTAAAGATAGAAAACTGCTAGCCGAAACCGAATTAAGAGTTAAAGACAAAAATTTAGTTTGTAAAAAAAATGCATTATCGGAGAAAATAATGTATCATACTGAATTAGAAAAAAATTTTAGTTTCGAGCAAGCCCAAAATGAGTGTATACGATCTTCAATAAACGAGTTAAAAAGGAAATATGATAACACTGTTAGATGTTTGAAATCAAAAATTACCCAACAACAAAGTAAACTAAATGAGAAGTTGCCCAAATTAACTGGAATTAAACGAAAATTGAAGGGTATACAAGAGGAGGTAGAAACACAAAATTATCAAACGATAGAATTAAAAAAAAAAGCCGGAGAACTTCGTCAATTTTATTTTAATGAGAAAAATAAAGCTGACAAAGTAGTTTGCGAACTCAAAACCGAAGTAAAGTCAAAAGCTTTGGATCTCGAATCTGTTAATACAAAACTTTGTAATGCACAAGTAGAAAATGCTAGATTCCAATGTCAGTTGAAAGATCAAGAGGAAACAATAAAACGCTTGGAGTCAACGATAGAACACCTGCATCAGGAAGTAAGAACTATCAAAGAGGCTACAGAATTAACAACTAACATAATCAAGATAGAATGCGAACAACACGACAAAGAGGTATTAGCGTTTCAAAGAAAATTTGAATTAAAAAATCACGAGGAAGACGAATTGGAACAATTGATCAACAAACAAAATGAGCAGATAAAAAAATTAAAAAAACAATTATTTGATAAGAAATTTAAAACTAGTGTAGTAGATAGTTTAGAAATGTGTGTTGATGTATTAAGCGAAAACAAAGAAGACCTAGTACTTACCCCATCCGAATTATTCGAACCAAATGACAACAAATGTGAATCAAATAGTAAAAAAATGTTGCAATAATCCATACGTATAGTAATAGTATTCAATCAGAATTAGATCAATAAATTACTAGAAACTGAAAAATGTATGTATTAAATGAGGTCTAATACAACAAATAAAACTACTTTTAACTTCAATATCTCCTTCCATAATTATTACTTGACGAATTCAAAGTAATCTTTATTTCTTTCCTCACAATTATCCTTTACATTCCAGAAAAACTAAAATATATATATACAGAGTGATTTATTTATCAGCAAATATCTCTGATGATTTTAAGTGAATTTAATTTCTGTTTTGTTTTAATCATTATGGAATCGTTTAAGCTTTATTTTAAAACAATTTTTAATTTTTTAGCCCTACTCCACGTACCTTAAATAAGTGCATACTTTTGATTTTCAAATAGGAACCCCTCTTTTTGAACACAGATTTAAATAGAAAATATTTTTCTAAAAATTTCGATATACATAACACTAATATCAGATTTACCGTTTATGAGTTATAACAGTTTATAGTTTAGACAGGAGGAATAGAGAAGGGTTATAGATATGCAATTTATTACCCTCCCTTATTACCCTTATTCCCTTTATTATCCTTAGAAAAATATTCTCCATTCAAATCTGTGTTCAAAAAGGCGGGTTCCTACTTGAAAATCAAAAGTATGTAATTATTTAAGGTATATGGAGTAGTGGTGAAAAATTAAAAACTGTTTTAAATAAAGCTTGGAAGATTCCATAAGGATTGAAATAAACAGAAATCAAATCCACTTAAAACCCTCTGAGATATTTACTGATTCATGATAAATAAATCACCCTGTACTTGTAAAATAATTAAGTAAAAAAAAAAATTATTAAAATGGTTAATACTCGTAAATAAATATATAAATAAAAAATATAAAAATTAAATAAATGAATGAATGCGTCATCTGGAGTATTATGAGTGTATTATACGACCGGTTTCGAATTAAAAATTTATCATCAGGTATATCACAGTCAAAATGTAAAAAGTGACTCTAAGAGTCGTATAATAATACACTTATCATAATAATCCAGACGACGCATTCAATAATTAATTAATTTTTTATTTCTTATATAGATAACTTTTTTATTTATACATTTATTTACTATATTTAAAAATACTTACTAATAATTTATCATTAAACTTCTTCGTCTCCCTTATTTGGAACTAGAATTGCCTAATTAATGGCAAAGGAAAATTACTAGCAAATCAACAAAATATCAGAAGCTCAAAAGTGGTTCAAAAATTTTGACAATGATAAAAGGTAATAAAAGGCAATAAAAAAGGTGTTTTGTGATTTTTCGAATAAATCATTTTTTCTGGTAGAAAACGTCCGTGTTTTTATAAAATAATGAAATTGTATGTTTTCCTACGTTTTTTCCCATTTAAGTGTTTTTATTTAAAAAATAAAAAAATTCAAATGACTTTTTTAAAATACAATCTACACAACTTGAGTTTTCATAAAAATTACTTCACGTAAAAATCGGAGCATGTTTCGTAGGAAAAAATGTGTCCACAGACTGGAAAAAAAAAGAAAGAAAGAAAAAAAAAATTTAGTAAAACCAATAGCTTCCTCGCTACGCTCGGAGTCTAATAAGGAATTAGATGTTCGTACCAAAAAGACCTAAATACCTAATTATTTCAATTTTCGCAGGGATCTCTAATATTTTTAAAAATAATGTAACAAATCATGTTACTCGTTGATAATGCAGTTTTTTATAGGTGAAAGAAGTCTTAAAATCCATTAAGTAGTTTTAGAGCGTATCAATGACAAACAAACATATCGTTTCTTTTTATAATATTAAAGTATAGATTATACTATAATATTATTATACGATTTAAATTCTGAAAAAACAATATACAGGTACTTAATACGTAAACGCCTTGAAAGCCAATAAAATCAAGAGCTGAAACTACTATACCAGCAGTCACTGTTGTAGGTGGGAACTTTGAAGGTTGGATATATAGAGTAATTTAATTCAAATAATTGTGGATCGATGAGCTATTATTAACAAAAAAACGTTCGTGGACGAAGTTTGGTTATCGCTATGACCTTGAGCAACTTTTGAACTTTTAAGGAATTTTAATTTTCGGGAATTTTCTTTGCTGTGATTCGGTTATAAATACACGTAGAAACTTGAAACTTGGTTATAATACTTAAATTGGACTTACCTAGACGGGAAAATGATGGTAAAATTTCCAGAATCATCGGACGACTTTTTTTTTTTTTTTTTTTTTAATAAGCGTTTTGAAATTTAAACGAAAATCGCAAAAATTATGCATTACAAAACTACGCTCGGAATCGTCTATCGTCAAGCAATGGTTTATCCTCGCTTACAGATATAAATGATATAACCTTATGTATCCTACCTTCCCAACTTTTCATCTACAACAGTGGCCACTTCCATCCCCAGTTTCAGCTCTTTTTTATTTATATATTTATTTACTATATTTTTTAATTTTTAATCATTGATTTTATGGTATTTCAATGTAATTTTATATAATATTTTTCTATTTCAATTTGGTTTGGTTTAATAAATATATTGAGTATCGTACTATTTTTTTGTGCGGAATTAAGTTATGTATTCTGCATAAAACGCCGCTGTACCTAATCATATCCATGGAATTTTAAACATTTCCTGCTCTACGCTTCTGCCACTTAAAAGCGATTGCATGCACCTGCAAATTTGCTCGCATTTGTTTTGTTCAGAGTTCTCAATTATAACGTTCGTAATCACAATCAGTATGCTATAATACCAACTCGCATTACTATTCATATATAGTCCTACACAATTTGTCGTACGCTTCGCACTTTTCTGTAAAATTCCAATCTTATAGCCTTTGCTATTCCTACTCGTTACATTTCCGTTGTACCTATAGGCCATAATGCATTCAATTTATATTATAGACTTTGTATAAAGGTACAAAAAAATAAAAATTGTTTTGCTTCGTTCGAATTTATAAATAAATAACGTGTAAAAACAACCATTTACGATTTAAAACTATAAACATTCGCAGTAATATTCATAATAGGTATTAAAGCGTGAAATTTAAAAAAGAATAACCATTGCATATAATTTATGAGTATGTATGTTTTATTTTTGTATTTTTACAATTTGACGTTTTTTTTCTTACAAAATATACTTACAATATAAAATTAATAATTAATAATATTAGTCTCTATTTTTTTTTTTTAAATAATTTAAATTTACATTTGAAGCCAAGCGTCTCTACAATGTATTCATGTGTGTATTAAATATTTATTAATAACCTGCGTTTTGAGGTTTAGTTTCTGGCACGGCAAGCGTATTCTTCAACGGCTTTGGTGCAGTAGACTTTGATTTGACTTCAGGGTTGACTTCAACGACATCTACTTTAATAGTTTCCACATCGTCTGTCGATACTATAGCGGGCACGAAAACGGCTTGTTGTACATTCGATTTCTGTACATACGCGTTGAATCCATTGGTCGGGTCAGCCGTGTAGTCTACGGTTCTCTTGGTGCCATCGGGTTCAATCAAACTGTATCTGCCTTTCACGAAATTGCCGTTTCGGGTTTCTTCTTGACTTTTGGAATCGCCCGTTATTTGATCCTGAACCTGGTATGCGAACGCGTACGAAGGATCTGCCACAGGCTGTAATTGTGCTTGGACGGGTAAAACTTGTACGAATTTAGCAACTGGAACAGTCGGGGCGACAATTTTGGCCGTGGGAGTCACTATCTTAGCCGCAGAAGTTACAGGGACGACTTCGGCCCGAGTGGCAGGGACGGTTTTGACCGGGGTAGTGGCAATAAATTTGGCTGTCGGTGATGTGTACGCCACCAGCGGTGCAGATTGGTAGAATGCAGGTTGCAAATAAGTCCACGAGACAGGTCCGTGTGAAGTCAATGATGACGTGACGTAGGCCGGCGCCGCTGATAATAAGACTTCGGCGGCGGAAGTCATAGCAGCTACCAAAGGCAGAATGATGAATACCTGGAAATAATCATTACATACAATTGTTAATATTTTTGTTCGTTAGCATGGAATATTTCAGTTTGAAAAACTATAAACGATTTATTCGTTGATTGGCTTACCTTCATGTTGACGATTTTGTGTTGTTTGTGAAACCGAATGCTTCTCGTACTATCGTTCGGAACGATCGATTGAGTTGTGATGATTGTATCTTCATCGGCACTTGTTTATATATCGTTTAAAAGGTCCTCGCACCCCACTAGAGATGCGTCTAAGGACATATCGTACACGTAGACAAACATAAATCGTATCGATTATAAATGTGCGATAAGTAATACAATTCCAGCGCCGTGATACGAATTCAATTATAATTGTGTTTTACTCTTTTTCGATAAATGACCATGATTCGCCCTCGTCGTCGTTTGAATTATGCAATGATATAGAACGCTATTAAATCGATTTTATTTTCGAGCCAAATGTGCAAACAGAATAATAATTTACCCTTTTATGTATTTGAGTAACGTGACTATATATTGTGTCCCACTGAGATATACACATTGCAATATCACCTGAGATGAAAAGACAATGAAATTCTATTTTTTTTTATATGTATTCAGGGATAATGACTTATTTATATGTAAATTATTTTTTTAGTGTTTTTACTAAACCATAAAAATCTAATTAAAATATAAAATATATGCCATTATCACTGTGAATAATATTAAAAAAAAAAAAAATTATATTTACTATCTCCGGAGATAATACGCGGGGTACATTTTTGTGGGACACTCTAAATAAGATTTCGTCAAGGATTGATTTATATTTTATAGTGTCATTATCAAAAAAAAAAAAAAAAAAAAACAAA